AGAACAACACAACGCATGAAAAATATCGGATAAATTTATTTGATATTTGAAATTTATATAAATAAATTTATCTACAACCTCTGAAAAAAAAAGCAACCGTAATATACATAACGTAGGTATGGAACAGTATTTCGATTTTGCTACACAAAACAATGAATATTAATCACTAACACATATAATTGAGATGTAAATGTTTTACGTGTGTAACAAAAACAGAATAATTTGTTTTTCATCCTTTTCCCAGATGTGGTTACTTCGACGTATGAGTTGATCATCTATTTATGTAGAAGTTAGACTCTGTTTAGTAAAAAAAGAAAGAGAGTTTGATAAATAAAGAATTTCATATCGATATCATAAGACTATCACTTTTACCATCAGAACCACAGCTATTCTTATTGAAGAGGAAATTACCTTTAACTGAATTAAGATTAAACCAGGAATTTAACCAAATTAAAATACAGTTTTTAAATCACTTTTGAAGAAAAAAAATCTCCTCTTTATTTAACAATTTTTTTTTTCTTCGACACATTGAAACAAATTGTTTTGATTGTTTTGAACAAATTATATTCGATCAATGCAAAATTATGAATTATATTTGGACAAATCAATTTTTCTAAGGACATGGCTCTGGGTGATAAGGGAAAAGTTCCAAACTGGTAATTCTCAATTTGCCATCAATACCTCTCAATGTTCTGATTATGGCTATTTGCAAAACACCATCTATCTCCAGCTTGGCCACCACTACCGTTTGCGCATTGTCAGGAATAACAAATTTAAATAAAAAGTAAATCTTGAGGATCCTAGCCTTTTTGGGTTTGAAAAAATCACCTAGAGGAAAATAAATGTTAAGCGAAAGCCATGAATATTTTGGCAAAATAACTTTGTTGGTAATTTATTGCAGAAGAAAAATCATTTTTTCATAAATTAATGCTAATAATTAATATTCATATTGATATTTACGTATCGTTGGGTTCATATCTTTTATCTCTGCTTTGAATGTGCATCTTGGTTCGCGTACCCATTTACCATCTGCGTTGACAGTTATTATCACTGCACACAAAATAGCAACCAGCGAAATATTCAATAAACGAGACATCTTAGCGTATGCTGTGCAGTCGTGTAACTGAATCTGATATACACTTTGCCCACAATAATATTTATACACATTGAAAATCTACTGAAGTGGATTTAGTACGAAAAAGGTCAATTGCAAAAACTCTAAATGAAAAACATGGACAAAAATATCCTATTTACGTCAATAAAACTCAATGAAATTGGTAGCATGCTGCAACTCAATAAAATAAGCTATTTTGCAGTTGCAACAGATTTGCACGGTCGAATTTGAGATAAATTCTTAAAATAAATTGAACGTTGAACATTGTGAATGCGCAGAAGAATAACAGTTTCGAAATTTATATCCAAAAATGGGAGTTTTAAAATGTGCGAATGCGTCAGAATGGCAAAATATACCTAAAAAAAAAATCATTGTCCTTGAATGCAGTCTTTCATGAACCATCTTCAATACAGTTTTTTTTGTTAAAATCGGAAGTTTTTTTTGTTAAATTCAGCCGTGAATTATAATAATCATGCAACGAAATGATTGAGTTAAAAAAAAATTAATCAAATTCAGCAAATGGAACAAAAATAAGAATAAACTCAAAACAATTTCAAATCGTAAAGGAATTCAAATTCAAACAAATTGCCCACTCGACTGAAGTTGGCAACGCCTGTTGTCGATTTGACAGTCGTTTGTCATTTGCTGTCAGCTGATTGTCATTTGAAAGTAATTCATACAATAATAAGCGTCTGTGTTGCATTTGATTAAATAAAAATGATTGAAACACATTAAAAATAAAGTAGTTGTTCTCTGGTTATCGTTGAAACAAGTGTTTTGTTTTTGTCTCGATCCAAAATTTTGTCAGTTGAAAATGAATAGCGAATTTCAGACTAATGGTAAACGAAATAACTTTGCATTTAAATTGTTTGTTAATGACGCGAGCACAGTGTGTACAAACTCATGGTATATTGTTTGTTTTAGAGTCTGGAATGGAAATATCGTCGCGAACCTTGGTTTCATCGTTTCTGTTTCAATGTAATTTATTCAAATTGGTGACGAACGATGCGACCAGTGCGACGGCCCAGTGCATGGTCTGCAAACGAAATGGGCAAGTGAGGTATTGCAAGGGTAAAAGCACCACCAACTATCATTTACACATGAAGGTATGAACTTGGCCTATGTACATGACATATGATTGGCTATGGAGCGGTTGCGATGAAATGATGAAATATGAATAGATAATGAATATGTAAAACAGAACAGAACAGGAGAGAAATGCGAACAGAAATAAAATATTCTGTGGAAATGAAAATAGAAATCGAAGAAAAGACAACGTCGATAAAGACTAGGAGTTAAGACAAAAAGAAACGATGAACGAAGAAGAAACCCATTGAAAGGGAAAATAAAAAGAAATTTGTAATTTAAATTTAATATTTCTTAAGAATAATATCTAATATTTCTCCTTACAGCGAATGCATCTCAGAGAATACGAGGAATATCTCCGCATTAAAGAAGGTGGCATTCCAAGAAACATCATTCCTTTTGGCGCAAGTATGATCTCTTTTTATTTGCGTTGAGTAGATTTGTTTAAATGTAAAAAAAAAATCATAGAATTGCAATGAGCTGTGCGCTGTGTTTTAAAACTTAAGTTCCATTGAAATTTCTTCAAAGAAATATTTTTCATGGGAATTTAGCCAAACGCAAGCACGGTTTCATTTATGAAATCAGAACTCAGATCAATTTGTTACTTTAAATGAATAAACAATTTTTTATCCATAGATCCAATGTCCGACAACGATGATCCCGATGCGCAGTCTGCTCGATCATCACTTTTGTTTGAACACGGCTTTTTCGAGATTAATTTTCGAATGCCGAATAACAAAAACATCAAAGCAAATTGCATGTCCTGCCACCGAATGGGTCGATCGAATTTGATTCAAGCACGGGAGGATTGCAATTCTAATCTATTGGCACATTTGAAGGTGAGTGTAATTGAAGCGAGCCTGCTGAAGTAATTTTTATTATTTTTTCGGGATATTTTGTTCTACCTCGATCAAAATGAACATGACTGAATTTAAAAAGAAAATTCATAAAAGTTTAAATTTAATTAAAACACAGTCAATTCGCCAAGCAATTTTATTTTGAAGAAACTTTTCTTTATTCCGCCATTTTTGGCAATACATTTGATAGTTTATTTTATGAAAAAAATTCCAAATTATCATCTTTACAATTTCGGTTAGTTTTTGGTCGAAAAAACTCATTTTGATTTGGTTTTCCTATAAGGGTAAAGATCCACACTGACAATTTTCGATATTCCATCTTCTCGCAACGTTTTGATTCGGGACAAATATGTCACACCATCTATTACAATCTTGGTCCAAGTTACTGTGTCCACATCATAGCCAACAACGGATGAAAATACGTAGTAAAATTTTATGATTTTGGTGTCTTTGTGCTTGAAATATTCACCTGTTGAGCGAATGTAATCATATTTTAACTTTTGATCGAATGCAATTAACGTGTGAAAAGAATATTTTATGAAACAAACATAAGAGTGTGTGGGAAGAATATTACAACTTACACAGCAATGGCTGCATATCAGTTTTCACTGCATTGAATTTACTTTCTGAATGTCGCTTCCATTTGGCAACCGAAAAATCTTTGGCATTGGTAGTCACTATTGCTGCACTCAAAATTTTAACTAGCGACGGATTGAATAAACGTGCCATCTTTGCGTATGCTTTATGATCACGCAACTAACTAAATCTGATATATCTTTTACACTTCATCTTTTATTCTTCTTCTTTATACGGCATTTATTTCAGTAGAATGAGTATGAAAATATTTTGAGCAAAATCCTAGGGGAATTTAACTCTTACGAGTTCAGCATGTTTTCTGCCAGTTTGCTTGATTCGCGGAAGTTCGACGCGTTCGTTGTACGTACTGACGCGCACGGTCACAAGTTTACACAAGTTTGTTTATGGTTTTGCGCGTTTTTCAAGTTGTTATTTGACAACCAAAACGCGTTTCAAACTAAAAATTGCTTGTTTACGTGTATAAAGATTTTTCACATCCTTTCCAAAAGTTGAAAGATTTATATAATTATAAAATGGACAAAGGAAATATTTTTAAAGAGCTGGAGAAAGTGTTGGAAAAGTTAATCCAGATATAATAAATGGAACGACTGATGTGTGCGCGTCGTCCAGCTTCAAGTTTGCACACGAACTCGCGCGCGTTCGCGCATGTTGTTTTAATA